CATACTCAATAAACTTCTTTGAAAGTTTAGTTTTCTATTTTATTCGTCAGATCAAACGTATTGATCAAAACTCTTGACGGAGTATAATCATCTACCTATTCACGTTACTGTTCTGCGTCACTAAAATAGACTATGGCGAAACATTTGCACCTATGGCACGACATGACACTAGAATGCTGCTTGCTTTTGCTGTGAAAAATGGTCAGAATGTGTTTCATTTAGATGTCAAGTCTGCCTTCTTAAATGGAATTCTTGAGGAGGAGATTTATGTGCACTAACCTCAAGGTTTTGAAGTTGTAGGTCATAAAGAGAAAGTGCACAGTCTAAAGAAGGCCTTTGTATGGGTTGAAACAGGCTCCTAGAGCGTGGTATGTAAGGATTGATTCTTATCTAATCCAATAAGGATTTCGTAGGAGTGATAATGAAGCTACTTTGTATGTTGAAAATTTAAAAGATGGTGAAAAGTTAATTTTGTCCTTGTATGTAAATGACATGTTAGTAATAGGAAGTGTGTTTCAGCTTTTGAATAATTTCAAGAAAGAAATGCAACAAGAGTTTGAGATGTCATATTTGGGGTTGATGAATTATTTTTTGGGAATGGAGTTTGACCAAATGGAACAAGGCATTTTTCTCACTCAAAGAAAATATGCCTGGGATGTCCTTAAGAAATTTCAGTTGGAGCAAGATAAATCAGTTTCAACACCGCTTGTGCATAATGAAAAATTAACTTCAAATGATGGAGAAGACAAGGTGGACTCTAATGTTTATAGAAGTTTGATTGGCAGCCTACTCTATTTGACATCTACACGACCTGATCTTATGTTTTCAGCTAGTCTTTTGTCTAGGTTTATGCATTTACCAAGTCAAGCTCACCTTAATGCCGCTAGAATAGTGTTGAGATATATTAAAGGTACAATTGACTTCGGTATTTTGCTTGAAAGAAAAAAGATGGAAAATTACAAGGATATGTTGATAGCGATTGGGCTGGAAGTATGGAGGATTGTAAGAGTACTTCAGGATATGTCTTCTCATTTGGTTCCGGTCCATTCCCATGGAACTCCAAAAAGCAAGAAATCGTTGCTCAGTCAATGCTGAGTTTGAGTATATATTAGCTGCTACTACAGCAAATCAAGCCATTTGGCTTAGGAAATTGATGGCTAATTTGGGAGAGAAAAAAGTTGAGCCTACTTTGATTATGTATGATAACAAATCTGTTATTGCTATCGCAAATAATCCTATTCAACGTGGTAGAACTAAACACATTAAAGTGAAATTTCATTTTATTAGAGAAGCAAAGAAAAAAATTAAGTTGTTGCATTGTAAGTCTGAAATGCAAATTGTTGATATTCTGACCAAGGCACTTCCCAAGAGCAGGTTTGAAGATTTACAAAGCAAGCTTGTTATGTCAAAGAAAAGTCTCAAGGAGGAGAGTTGATGCATTGAGACATTTCTTAGCTGATTTCATGGATGAGCTGCAATAATGGTTTTTTTCTTTTGATTATGTTTTTTCTTTTGATTTGTTTCTTATCCATTTTTTTTGTTCTTTTCAATTTTTAAGTTGTTCCTTGATTTAAGGGATATTAGTAGCTTAAATAAGTTGTTGGTTGTAGATAAAATAGCTTAGAGAAGTTGTTAGCAGTAGATTTATTTTATTCTGCAATCTCACAAGAATCGGTTCAGTTTTTTTTGTATTTAAACACATCATATCAATGAACTTTAAACATTGTGAAAGCATCAATTTTCTGTATTTCATTTTAAATATTTTATTCTTTTTCTTGCCATTTCCTACATATTATTTGGTAGTGTTCTCCAACTTTCATATCCATGTTTTTTGATACAATCAATGAGCTTTTGATCTTCCTCTGATGTCCAATCTGTTTATCACCGTGTCAACGTGCCCTTTAAAAATGTGAAATTCTATAATGATAAAATAAAACAATTAAAAAATGAGGATAATCACAAAATCACCTTAAAAATCCTTCATTTTATATGCTATCTAATGTTCGCTTTTTCCTTTGATCAAAAATCAATACGAAAATGGAAAGGCGAAAAAGAAGAAAATGCCTTTCTTAAATTTTGGGAATCTAATATACTAGAGTGTTTTATAGGAAGTAGAATATTGTGTTAATTCAACTAATAATAGTTAGGTTTTATCTAGAGTATATTAATTCAAACAATTCAAATACATTACCATAGATAATAGTATAGATAAAGTTCTATAATTTAAATTATCTAATATGGATAACATAATTAAAATAATATAAATATTTAATTGTCTAATAGCAATACATATAAATAAAAATAAAACTCAAAAAATTGGTGAAAAAATAATGTTGAAAAAAGATGACTGCTTCGAGTTTTTTCTCTGTCTCAGCTTTTATATAGATACGTAGATTGGTTTAATATATATACATCATAGATACGATGCGATAGGGTAGGATAGAACAAGATAAAGGTCAACAACGAAGATTAACTCCAAAAAAATTAACACGGAAAGTCTTAAAAAAAGAAAAAAGAAAAAAGAAAAAACCATCTACTCATCGAGAGCTCCCTCGTATTGTTCTCAGTCATCAATTTAGGTTTGAATAAAAGTATAGTTTGATTTTTTTTTTTTTGAAGGAATTGTTTGAATCAGTTAAACGTGTACCGATTCAAATTTGAATGAAATCTAAAAAAAATAAAAAAAATCAAGGGTTATATTTATTTATTTTCGTCAGTTTAAAACATAATATTATGCATTAATCACAATTATACTCCCTCTATTCTCTTTATTTAGAGAAAACAGAAAAAGCTTTTGGATTAAGAAAGTTAGTTAAATGAAGTTTCTATCTAAAATGTCCTTCATTTCTTCATTAATTATGGGAACAATAGCTGACACAAAAGACAGTCCCAAGAAGTGCATTTATTGCCTACCTATATTCTTTGGGCGTCACTTTAAACCTTCTTTATTAACTTTATCACACTTTATTAGAATGGGGACATTTTATATAAAATGTACCAAAAATGAAAAAAAATTGATATACTCTGAACTTATGTCTTTAAATGGTTAGCTATATTTAGTTTTAAGAGTTTATTCTTTAAAAATGCATTAGTGAGATTAATTATCTTCTAAAATTGTAATCTTGTTATCTTGTCTTATCAATTTATATTCATATACTTATGCCTTCCTTAAAAATGACAATTATTGTATTTACCCTCTTAACAAGTTTTAATTTGAAAGTGAATACTAAAATTCGAGTTTTAGTGTGAGTTTGAAACCACAATTTTTTTAGAAAATGCACAATCTAGCAAAATGTGTGACAACTTCACATTTTGAAAAGTGCACAACTAATAATAATAAGTCCACAAAATGGCTTACAGAAGTTGACAACCGTTGTCTAACACAGAAAATAATAACTATTGAAAAAGTATACAATTAATAATAATAAGGCCACAAAATGGCTTAAAACAGTTCACAACTATTATTAAGTATTAACAAAAGGCTACAAAGTGACTTACAAAAGAATACAATCATAACAAGGATCTGAAAAAAAAAAATACTGTATTTTTAAAAGTGCGCAATTAATAATAACAAAATGCCACAAAGTGGCTTACAGAATCACAACCGTTACCTAACACAGAACACAATAACTATTAAAAAAGTGCACAACTAATAATAACAAGGTTACAAAATAGCTTATAGAAGTGCACGGCTAATAATAAAAAGACCCCAAAGTTGCTTACAGAAATTCACAACCTTTAATTAAAACAAAAAAATAAAAATCATTGAAAAAGTGTACGACTACTAATAACAAGGCTACTAATTACAAAATAGCTTATAGAAGTGCACGGCTAATAATAAAAAGACCCCAAAATTGCTTACAGAAATTCACAACCTTTAATTAAAACAAAAAAACAAAAATCATTGAAAAAGTGTACGACTACTAATAACAAGGCTACAAAATGGAAGTGGCTTACAAAAGTTCACAATCATTAACTAACACAAAGAAATAAAAACCATTGAAAATGTGCATAAGTACTAAAAATAAACTCTAATTTCCCTATTTTTTCAATAATCAAAACACACCCGCACTTTTAAAAACAAAGCGTAGTCATTTTCAAAACTTAACTGAGCATAACATATATTCATTCCTGACATCAACGATTGTGGCCAAATTTACAATGATAAAAATGGACATATATTCATCAAACATACAAATAAGAGCTAACTTTATATTTATATGGCATTATTTTGACTTTTAATATCAGAACTTTAATTTTATAGCCAAATTTATAAAAACGATCATTGTTACTATAAAACGAAATGAAAAAGTGAGTTGATAACTTGCCCCTTAAAACACGCATACATTGAATGCTAAGAATATTTATATCTGCTACTTTTCTTGATCGTTGAGATTCAATCTTAAAACAAACAAATATACTCCAAAGGCATTTTAATCTTTTTAACTTGGCTTGCATCTCAAAGTTACTATTTAGAATAAAATTCTCTATATAAAAAATACACCCAAAAGAAAATTTTTTCTAAATAAAAAGAAGAGATGGAGTACTTTTTATTTTTACTCCATTTAATATAATTGAATTCAAAATATATATAATTTATTTATAAATGAATTCTATATATAATTCATTTGTATATAAACTTTTCATGTTTAAGATAAATTTGATGTATATAAACTTTTCATGTTTAAGATAAATTTAAAATTTAAATTTATTTACTTTTATTCCTAAAATACCCGTAGCATATTAATTTTATAAGGCTAGAAAAATAGATATTTCTATCATAAAACTTTAGGTTGTTTAAATTTGTAAAATTTATTTAGAAATTCTACCTCTTTTCATAAAATTTGATTTAATTATATTTAAGTCCATAAAATTAATTTTGTATATTTAAATTCTTCAATTTTTCACACCAAACACAAATTCGGATTTATAAATAAATTCCATAAAATTTTATGGAATTCATTTATTCCAAACAAGGGATTAAATGGATAAACTTTGAATTAAAAACTCAAAGGCAACGTTATAATGGTAAACATGCTATTTAAGTTCAAAGTCATTTTCATGGAAATGATAACTGTGCAATTTAAGTTTTATTCTAAGATAACATGTTATATCAGAATCAGGTCATAACCAGGGACCTTAAGGGCAGACTATAAATTATCAAAGTCCTTGAAAATCAACATTATATTTCTGGCCGTAGACAACAAGACGCTTTTCAAGTTAAAAGTGCACACTTTTTTGTCAGTAAGCCTGTTTATTCGCTGTAACCTGGTTGTTATGGTTGTGTCACCTGGGCATGGCATTGGCATCCATTTTTATTATGATCACTCTTCTAATTGGGAGATGACGCTAACAAAAACTCGGTAGCCTTGGCACATATCAGAAAACAGGCAGTACTCATTCTTGGCATGGTATGTGGCCATTAAACCTGCACAAGTATACGCAAGAAAAGTAAAAATCAGAATGACAGTACACGATACATGAAAAAGATAACAGTTGAACACAAAAAAAAACTACTGAAAACCTAATAGCTGATCTGTGAAACATCAAATGCTAAATGAGGAACCAGGTATAATAACTCGGGGAATTTAATGGTAGACACAAATTTCAAAACACAAGCAAAAAATTGCCTTCAATTCAACAAAGTCCATCAGCAAAACAGATCACAGTTCAAGCAGACAGCAATCCAATGTTGAACTAGTGATAGATTATCTGCACGCCAGAACTTCATAAAACTAGAAATATCTCCTTACTGTGTGAACAAGTGAATTTATGAAACAATTCGATAGTATGTTATTATGTCATGTCTTAAATACAGATGACTCCATGTGCATTAGTTAGTAGTCGATAGATCACATATTATACCAAGTGTACCTAACAAATTTTTATATTACTGAGAACAATAGGTATAGCAAGTAGAAAAGGAGAAGAGTATAATTGTTAAGCTACAGCACTTTTTGCTGTAACATTAGCAAATTATTTATGACGTTTTTATTTAATTTAATCCACACATGTAAAGAAATGGCTTTGTTAAAGTTCAGGTGTAGTTTAGGAGATATCTTGATCAAGTCTACCAGTTCGATACAAGTATTCTATCAAGCGAATAAGCTTAGATTTGGGCTAAGTAATGTGCATAGACCAAAAAGTACACTAGCGACTGTACTATAAATATTTGAATGAAATTGTTAAGAGCTAGTGAGTACTTTCTACAAACACTTTCCTCGCTTTTCTTAGCTCTCAACTCCACCACCAAGTTCATTGATTTAGCTTTATTGCTAGCGTACTTGTCTGATGATAGCAATAATACCCTGTCCTCTTAATTAAAGTTTTCTTCTTTTTTCTTTTAAATTGTGATAAACAGTTCATGATATGGTTATGTTAGTATTAATTTTGACGAGTGCAATCAAGTTTTAAAAATGATAACAAGTAAATCAATAAGAGTTCTAAAGAAATTTAAGTTTCCATGACTATCTATTTAATCTCAGGGCAATTGTGAATTTTTGCAACATTGAAAGACCATAAAGTCTTCTTCCTCTCTTCAATCCCATCACTCTCTCTACGCCCACCAATTTTCTCTCATTTTCTTATGCTTTCTCATCACTTATCTCCACATCAACTATCATAACTTTTTAGATGGATATGTTATCATACCAAAACAGCTTCTAAATCACCTCCAAAATTCTGCACCAAAAATAGTTTCAGCATCAGTAGGTTTTGAAAGGAAAATTCAATTTTCTTGAAGAATCCTGTATCAATTGCTTTGGGTCTTGTTTCCAAATGCTTCTAACATCACCCAAGAGCTATTTTAGTTCAGATTAGCTTCATCATTCCTCCAAATTATCTTAAGTTCAGATTAGCTTCATCATTCCATTCATAATATGTAAACTTAGAGTATTTCATGATTTTCATGGTTTTCATCGGCCTCACGCTAATGTGAATTATGAAAGGAAAACAATTTATAATGTTTGAATTATTAAAGAGCAAGTCTTTTCACAGATTGTGGTTAAAGTAAGGGTTTCATTACTAGAGATCATGGGTGAGATTTATCTTAAGAATCAGTCTATCTAAAGATGGTATTTGAAGCATTGTTAAAGTGATTTCATGGTTTGTTTGTTTGACCTAAACCATACTGACCATATCTAAGTTAATTTAAGACTTACATATAACCTTGATCAGAAATTAGGCAATTGATTAAAGGAATAAGTGTGCAATGGTAAGACAATAAAAATATGCTAGGAGTCCTGTTGCACGAAAACAAAAACGTGGAAGCGTGGAAACATAGAAACGGACACGGGAAACGGTATTTTTAAAAATATAAGAAACGGAAACGTGGAGAAAACGTGTAAATGTGAAAAATATAGGGTTATATTTATGAATATAAAAATATAAATTATTATAAACCATTAAATATATTCAACAAGTCAAGTCTAATCAATATTTAATCATATCCAAAAAAATTACAAGTTCCATACTCATAAAAAATACAATATAAAATTATTAATCACCATGTATAATATATTCAGACCCAAGTCAAGTCCAATCATATTTTAAATCATATCCAAAAAACATTACAAGTTCCATACTCATAAAGAAAATACGCCTGTTATATGAACTTTGTAAAATTAATTTAAATGTGAAAAATATAGGGTTATATTTATGAATATAAAAATATAAATTATTATAAACCATTAAATATATTCAAGAACAAGTCAAGTCCAATCAATATTTAATCATATCCAAAAAAATTACAAGTTCCATACTCATAAAAAATACATGTTTTATGAATTTGTATTTATTTATGCATTTATTTTAATTAGAGAAATGAGTTTATGAGAATTTCCAATTTACGAAAATGTATTTAGAGAGGGAAAACGTGTTTCTAAATTACTCAATTTACAAAAATGGCCTCGAAACATTTTCGAGGAGTTTCCAAGCGTTTCTGTCCAGGAACATTTCCGAAATATGGGAACGACAGCTAAAGGAAGTTCCCGTAGACACTAATTGGAGTTGCCTAGGGTGATACCTTTTATCTTGATTTGGGAAGTTCTCTTTAAGATAATTGAACAGTCATTGATATTTAATGCTTGTAAATTGATTAAAGAGTAATATGAATAATTGAATGTTAAGTTATGAATTGGAGATTGGTGATAAAGCTTTAGAAAGAAAATGCATGAAGATAGAAGTGGTGAACTATATTTATTTCACATTACGATTGCTTGATCCCTTTTCCATTCTCCCCACATCTATTAGTATACTAAATCTTGTAAGGCATGGAAGTCTCTAATTAGAATGATAACGAGTTATATGCAACATGGGATATACATATAAATAAATATATAATAAAATGGTTGAGCAAGTGACGGAGTGTGCTCAACATATGTAAGGGTGATGCTTTGAGCTCCTCATTGTTACTCTAGAATTAATGCTTTTTGCTCCCCTTATCAGATGAAGTAAAAGGTAGGTTGGTTTAATGCTTATAATTCTTAACCATAAAGTGTATGTATTTGAAATTGATGATGGATGTCATACATTGGATGTTTATAAGTGCATATAAGATGGATTGGTTATAATTAAGAGCTATACGAACCTCATTCCCCTCCTTAAATGTATGTGATGTGTGCTTTGAGGGAGATACATAGGCACCATATTGGGTGTGTATCAAGACTAGAATTGAATTCCTATACCTTCAGATGCAATGATATATAATTTTTTACTAAATTTCTTTCATATATGATTTGAGTAAATTGTAATACGTTAAGCATGTTAGCTTGGGCTAGTTGCCTTATATTAGTGCACACGTGTATAATTTGCTTTGTGTTTGTAAGCCCAAAAGTTGGACTTGTAGGACCATTCCTAGTTAGTCCAGGATCAGCAAATAGCATGACAGAGGAGAATAAGAGTGAGATATGAAATGGTTGTATGAGATGTAGGCTAGGAATACTCACCACACCAATTTCGTTGGAGTGTTGGCTTAAGGAATACACTACTGCCCACGCATATAGATAAGAAACGTGATTGGATAAGAGATCCAAAATGCAGGATTGTCTCCCCAAAGTTAGAGACATGAGTTATTAGGATGAGAGCTAAAATTGGATGTTCTGGTCCTACAAAATCCGCTCCTCAGGCTATGTTTGCCAATGTTGGTTGTTGTGGTGTTGTAATTATTGATAATGATAATGATGTGAATGATAACAATATGGATAAGATGTATATGTTCAGTTAAAGATCCAAGTCCATGAAGTTGTGCAATATATATATATATAGGAGAAATACATAAATTCACTCACATACTTTTCGCAAAAAACCTTATGACACCTCAAACTTTGTGTCCCTAAAGTTACGAATTTTGATAACATTGCACACTTCTCTACACTAGTAGTAGACAAAAGCTTTTAGGGTTTTTGGCTTTTATATGCTAAATATTTGATGTGTAGTTATTACAACTTTTTGAATAATAATTTTCATAGTTTTCAACTATCTAATAAGTGTTTTAATCGATTTAGTTCTACAAATTAGAGCATTCAATATAATGATCTTATAAGCTAAAGTGTTTAATAGACATAATTTTATAAGTTGAAGGGTTTAATAGGTCAAAGTAAAAGTTGAGAATACTATAAAGTTTTTAGCCATTCTTGCATTTTATGAGTGAATTTATGCATTTGGCATATATATGTTATCCTAAGTTTTTGCAAGGTTTTGCTCCACAAAGTCTAAAGTTCATATCTCAGCCAATAATTGTTATAGAGTTGATATCAAGTTTCTGTAGTAGTTTACGGATATGATGTCCCACATTTGTTAAGAGTTTTGCAGGTTTACGTTTACGCAAAAGATGGAAGTCAAAAGCCATGAAGAGAGAAAGAGTAGCAAATCTTTAATTTTTTATTTTATAAGTGTTGACGCGATGTGTAAACAAAGTCATAGTCATGTCATAACAGTTGTATAAGATTTAAGTCAAATTGTATAATATTAAGTTTGTAGTTCTCTGTAATTTCAATTAGTGCATTATTTGTGGGACACATGGAGGTTCAAGTGGATTTCTCTGCATTTGTGAAATTAATTTTAATTTTAGTTAGGATGGATATTAAAGCAGGTTTTAGACCTGCTACAGGCTTTGATGGTCTTAAGCCTACCCATGTCCTTACACCGGTCACAAGCCATCAAGTTTAGATTATGACACTAGCAGAGCAGAAAATTAATCTTCTAATTCAATACTGTAGTAATCTGCATTGGAGACCAGACAATAATCAAGATTCAGAAAATGGTTAGTAGAACCATCAATTCTTGAATATCCAACTTGGAAAAAAATGGCAAGGTTTGAATTTTCTCCAGCATAGTTTCGGCGAGGTTGTAGAGGAAGAAAAACTAGAGAGAGAGGGAGAGAGAGAGAGAGAGAGAGAGAGAGAGAGAGAGAGATCTGATAGAGGAGCATAGTGCTGCAGTGGATCAGAGGGAAGGAGAGAGAAAAGAGAAAGAAAACAAAAATTAATTCCATATAGATTGATCATAAAATATTATTAAAATGGTAGGATACATTTGCATAAAGTTTGATGGTTAGGTTTATTGCTTTAACGTTTGGATAAGCCAATTTCCAAACATTCATTGAAATGCTTTGAAGCAATAAGATAGTCAACTTTGTTCAAGGTCAATATCAATTTGCACTGAGAAATTGAGAAAGAGATAAAGACAAGAATGGGAAAGAAAAAACAAGTGTGAGAAGATATGGACCAGAACATCTGAACTAATTGTAAGATCAACCACAAAAGTATGAATATAATCCTGTTCCTATAAAGTGCTTTTGATTGAGAGATTATCTATTTAGACACTAGGTTGTTCGGCATGAAATCCTATATGATAAATTTAAAAATGAGAAAAGTTAAGAGGAAAAACAATGTAGAAATTATATCATACCATAGCCAGCAGTTTGAACATCAAAACCTTCATCCTACAAAACCCAAAGGGGACATTAACTGGAGGAATTAAAACATATAAACATAAACATACATGTGCCAAGACACAAACACACATATCTAACAAAGAAGAAAAAGAATGATAAGGGTGTCAAAAAAAATAAAGGAGACTTACTTGCAACTCTCGAATCAGTGGCAAACTCCCAGTTATTGAATATGGTTTCACATGCCCTACTACCTTCTCAGTAGCCTTACACAATACATGAAAGCCACGAGACTCAAGATCACATGCAACTCCAGACATCGCCTCTTCAAAGGTCAGAGTAAGGCTACCAAAAGAAAATAAAAATAAAAAGAACCCGTAGATGAACACTTTAGGAAAGAGATTGAAATTTAGATGAGTAAATAACACATCTAAGTTTAATTTATTTCCAATAAATGTGTTTTTTTAGATGTAATCAAGAAAGAAGGGTGATTGTGTTTCTAGAACAATGATGTTCTAAGGTGAGAAAGCAACAAAGAAAGCATACCTTCCCCTTAGGTTTTCATCTGGTAGGATATATTTTGAAACAGGACCTCTTGTATCCAGCTTCTCTATATTCTCATTAATGTCATCCACATACTCTTGTAGCTTATTCTTCACATCTGCTATACTGCAAATATATCAAAATATTGAAAATGAAAAGCTAATACCCTGCCATATCGCTAGGAAAAACAAATGCGTGATGAGATTCTATGGTTCACGGAAGACACGTGCTTACTTGTAGAAGGGAGTTAACCTGCAAAAGAAGAAAACAATAGTGAGACTCCATGTCTATATCAACAAAGACAAAAAAACACTTTCAAAAGATTAAAACCTGACATCTCCTGAAATTGTACACTCAGCAGGAATTTGATTGATCCCACCTCCAGGATCTGCAACAAGTAAATGTATTTCAGAAATGAAGCATTTCATTTGGATTAACATATGGAATTGAAACATACAACTCCACTGAGTTGGCTTCATCGTCGAGGGGGTTGCAAATCCATAGACTTTCTCTTTTGGATGAGGAGGGAAGTCCCTATAAAATCGTGATTGTATCTCTTTGAGTGCCTCCATAGCTAGCTCCAAAGGATTTATAGCCTGCAAATAGTCCACATCTCTTATTAACAAATCAGTATAAACAAGATATTTAACTGAATTTCTCAAGTTTCAGGTTAACAATTCATAAGCAAGGGTTAATGTTCAAAAAAAAAATTACAATAACAACCAAGAACATGATATGTGTGTGGCCCTGATGTCCAAACAAGCATTTCTATGGGAGAATTTGGCATAATGCACTTGATTAAATTTAAGTAATATATTTAAGCTTTTGACTGAAAAGAAAAGGTAAATAAATAAATAAAAATTGGAATACTCCAATAGAAATCAACTGCAAGTTCAAGAACCATTGACGTTATTACTTCCTTGAAATAGAGAAAGGAAAAATTGCAATGAGGTTTGTCCTAATATAAATCCTACTCTCCCTATAGGTCAAAATTGAAAAAAGTAATAATAATTGTAGTATGTTATTATTAATCTTAATTAAAATATTCTTTTACTTGTTTATCTTATTTCCCACCCCACTTTTTTCTCTCTCTCGTCTCCACAATACCACCCTAATTATTTTTCTCTTTCCTCTCATCCATGGCTTCCTTTCCTACTCAAATCTTAAATTCTTACTCTGTCTCTCATTATTTTTCTTATTCTTATTTTTATTCATTGTTGTTCTTTGAATCGTCACTCTCTTTCTCACTTTCTCTCTACTCTACCTGTTCCTTCTGTTTTTTTTTTTCTTTAAAAGAAATTTACTTTTTTCTCCTTCACTCTTTTTCTTTAAAACAAATAACTTTTTCAATTTTGATCTATCGGGTTTTGCAATAAATTTGCAAATTACAGTAGAATTAACAAAAAATAAAAGATTAAGCAACAATTGCAAAAATACCAAAAGTTTGGGGTAAAACTGTTTATAAGGCCTTTCAAAATTGGAATTTGAGTCCTTATGCTATGATGCACCTGTCTAGACTCCAGATCATTTCAATTCCATTCTCTCAACTTGTCCACAATAGGTGCCACTTCCACCTCCTTATGAATGCATTTATCACTTATCCTGTTTTATGATTATTGTTCTAGTTATGTATGTCAGTCCTAAATCTTATGTTACTCATCCCATTTGTTGCTTTTACATATATATCGAACTTTGATTCATTTCTTGACTATATTATAATTGATTAAAGTTTATCGCTGATCTGATATCCATTGCCTAATTAGTTGATAGGTACTAGTATCCTAAAGGCATAGTTTGTTTAAACTTCTGCACAAGTTCAGAAAAATTAAGTAGACAATATTGAGTTGAGACCCAGATGGCACTTTTGTCTTAGACAAAAAGCTCACAGATTCACATCAGTTCAAGATTAAAATCAAGCAAACTTTCACAATTTATCCAGAACTAAAGGAAAGTCACCAAGGGTTTGCAAAACCATCCTCTGTTATATTGTTTCAATTGCATAATTCACATAACATTCTGTGTGGTGTCTTCAATTGAAAACATAAAATTTAATATGAATCTAGTTATAGGCTTCAAGCATGCTACCTCAACAAACTATAAAAAGAACCGTACCAAGCCTGATAAAATTTGTAAGTTTCATAATCTTACAGTTGACACGTGAAAATCATTTCTTCCAGTGAAAACACATGTAAATTCTCAGACATGAATAAAGAAATCTAGAGAACGAGATTAATATCCTATACCTTGTGTGCTAAACCACTGTGAAAAAGTTTCCCTGTTACATGAAGTTTCCAAGGTATCATACCGCCAGTACCAATGCAAGGTTGTTTATCTGCAGTGTCAATCCAGAATCTACAGACACAAAGATCAAATAAATTGATTGGATTACATTTCATTTCTTTAGGGGAAAATATCAAAACAAGAGTCCACACTTAATTAAGATCAATCATGCTATAAGATGCTTCATATATGATAATCCTTTCTCCTCCCCAACAAAAAAAATGCGGATTGCTTACAAAGGACCTCCTTTCAGCTTATTAAGCAGCCCATCTTTCACAAGTGCATCAACACCAACTCCTGTTATTGTAGAATTCTCTTCATTGGCTATGAATACTGCAACTACTGTTGATTTTAGTTTTGGCTTTGTCTCCGCCAACCTCCTCATGAGCTCAGTCACAAGGGCAACATGTCCCAAACAGTCAGTAGTTCCGCGGCCACAGAGCTTATCCCCATCAATGCCCAATGAGAATGGATCAAATTCCTGCAAATGTTGTTAGCATAGCATTGATAATCATCATCATTAATCTCATTCATGAATAATGCTTAAATACAAAACGAGTTCAAAATATAAACCCATGCATATTTCCAAAGATTAAAACAAAAATAATAATCCGTCACAATATGTTTCCCCCCTTTAAGCAAATAAAAAAAGGGGTCAGCAAAAAAAAAAAAAAAAAAAAAAAAAAAAAAAATCTCATTCCATGAATAATGCTTAAAAACAATAAACGAGTTCAAAATATAAACCATGTCCATATTTCCACAAAGATTAAACACAAAAATAATAAACCGTCACAATAAATGTTTCCCCCCCTTTTAAGCAAAAATAAAAAAAGGGGATCAGACAAAAAAAAAAAAAAAAAAAAAAAAAGAAAAAAAAAAAAGAAAAGGAAAAACGCTGGAACTATTTACACAAAATAGTTGCCAAAAGCATGAATTTAGAAAATCAATCAGCTAAAACCCATTCCAAAACATATTGCCAAAAAAACTTCAAACGCTTACAAAATTCCAATGAAACAAAATCCAAAAATGAAACTATAATCTCAATCTAAGAAGACAAGTAAACCTAAGTTATAAATAAGCTCAATACATTTAAGTCCTAGACTGATATATTGCGAAGTCCCAAATCCACCATACAAAAAGACTAAAAGATATATACAGAAGCCATTTTTAACAATAACTTCATATGGGTAATCTCAAATTTGCCGAAATACAGAACTTCTATAGCAAACAAAGGCAAAAAGAGGCAAGAAGCAAACCCAGTCATTAGGATTGGCAGTGACAACATCCATGTGCATGCCAACAAAAGACAAAACCTTTCCTGGCTCAGTGCCTGGATACTCCACAATAAGATTGCCTCGGCCAGGGAAGTAAGAGACATGATTTACAATCAAGGGACCTCCTCCAGAAGTGGTGCTATAAGGAAGGAGAGAATCCAGCACGTGCTTCACCACCCTGTCTTCCTCTGGGATCAGCTCTGGTGGATTGTTTTGGACATGTTTGGACTCTCCTATGATCTTTCTCAGCAGGGAAACGAAGGATTCCCTGTTCAACTCTCCTAGGAATTCTTCGATACCAGCCATTAAAAGAGACCTCAAAGTTACTGCGTAAATTAAGAAGAGTAAGGAATGCTTGACGCTAATTCCTATAGAATTTATCTTCTGACAACGGAGGAGGAGCGACTACTCAATTTAGCTACGAGATAAATTAATTTTTGAGAAAATTACAATTTCATTCCTAAAGTTTGATCAAATTAATCAAATACTCAAGCAGTTTGATTAAATATCTAAATCACCCATGAGATTTGACAATGATTTTCGCAAGCGTACGAAATCGCAACAAGTACGAAATCGCAACAAGTAATATAGAGTAAGAGAGTATCGTTTTTCGCAAGTGTACGAAATCGTAGCAAGTAATATAAAGTAAGTAGAGTATCGTCTCCTCAGGGATTGTATATCAAGTACCAAAATTGTGTTAACCTATTATATTTAAACGGTGATAAGAAAGATTGCTATAAGGAAAATAAATTTAAAGTAAAAACAGAAGGAGATCAAGCACTTAATTTAGGTGAAAAGAAATCAGGAGATTAGACTACTAGGGAATTTGATTTCGCTTAATTCTATCCAGCTTATTCTATTAGTTTATTAATCAACTTTAATTGTTCAAGTAGGAGAAACAACCCTAGAGTTACTAACAAGCTCTCCGAATCACTAACAAGCTTCTCGCCGATATATTGTTGTGTATTTTATAAAATCTAGTTAATTTTCTATCTTCCGATATTGAAATCAAACATAAGAATTCAGATCTTCTGGGTTGTTGTTGTGTGTTTTGTGAATTCATAGCCTAAATGATCTTAACTTATGAAAGCCCCGCCTGCCCTTGAGTCAAAGACCTATATACGCTTTTCGCCGTCAAGTTATTATTTTCGCGTACGTCAAGGTTAATTATTCTCGAAGTAATTTATTATTTTTCAAATCAAAACCCTTCTTTCGATAGTGAATCTTGAAATAATTCACTCAGGGAAGAATCTGCCTGGAAGTTTAAAGCACAATAATAAATTATAACAAGAAACAATGAAAAACAAATATAATATTATTAAATTGGAATAATCGAATTAAGTTACATCAAATCCCTAGTATAAGAGTTTAGCTGGACATAATAATTAAATAAAACTCAGTCATACTTAAATCAATCATCATACCTAACAATAACAATGAAAAGAAAAATAAGATGAAGAGTTAAGAGATAAAAACTAGATCACAGCTATGTGGGTGACTTCCTTGAATCTTGGCACAACCTTTGGATGCTTGAAGTCTTTTGAGAGAGAGAGAATTATGCAGAAAATAGCACACAAAACGAGATTTCTAACAATGAGAAATTCCCCTCTTTATATAGAGCTCCTGAAGGCGAATCTGACTCCGTTTAGGAAATAGAATCCTTATTTAGTGCAAAATCTTCTATAGGACTTGCTATAGGAGATCATGACTGACTGTTTAGGCCTTGGATTTCTTCTTAATTGGGACTCCTTTCTCTTCCAAAATAGGTCTAGGTCTTGTTTAGTACGTTTAGGAAACTCTCCAAGGCGGGCCCGTGTGAGGAAAAGATTGATTTGCGTCTTTAGTTCACGCTAGTTCTGCCTTCGAAGCACGGGTGTGCCCTTATGCACGGCTGGGGCGTGCTTAAGTCTGGAAGTTTGGCTGGTGGAGCACGGGGTGTGCTAAGCAAGCACACCCTGATGGATTTTTGTGGCACGGGCGTGTCATTTAGCACAGGCTGGGGCGTGCTTGTTTCTGTCCTTCCCAGCTGGAATTGTCATGGGCGTGCTAGACTTGACACGCCTTGATCCTCTTTTGGGCACAGCCGTGCCTTTTGGCACAACCCAAGCCATGCTTACTCCTGACTCTTCCCTTGATTTCCTTAGCTTGTAGCACGGTTGTGCTTTCTAGCACGGCTTGGGTGTGCTGGAGGTTGAGTATCTTGCCTTGTAATATCTTGCCTTGTAATATTCTTTTCTATGCCAAATTCTAACAATTTCTCTTAGATCAAGTGGGTTAAGATTCAAGCACGATAGCATTCAAGGAAGCTTTGAACAAATTATACAAGAAATGAATTTAAAATCAAATCAAAGTGATAAAATTTGCTAAAATTCTAATAAAAACTATATTAAAAATACTATAAAATAAACACATATCAAAATTCCCCAAACTTAAACCATTGCTTGTCCTCAAGCAACAAAAAATAACTAGCTTACCATGGTTGGAGATGATTTTAACTGTAAAATTTTAGGATATCATGATCAGTAAATAAGTAAATAAATCAATTGTTCTCCATGCTACTCATATTTAAGCTTGATTTTAATTTTTGAATAAAGCACGTTCATTGAATAAAATATAAGTTTTAAGAGATTGTCAACACTGATACTCATTCAATTTATGATGATAAATAGGATATGAATCATCCAAAGAATTTTTCAACCTTTCAAAATAAGACAATTGATAGTGCAAATGTGGCATTCCCATATGCAAAATTAGTCATCGCTTCTCCACAATTTAAATGCATACGATTAAAAGATCAAAATGTCTTTATTTTGGGTTGTAATGGGGCTTCCGAGGTGTAAATTTTTGCTTAATCAAAGAAAAATGATAAAAGGTAGACAAAGAGTATAAAAGAATGTATAATATCTATAATATCCAGAATTCTATTTTAATCAAACAATTTTTTACTGGTTCCAGGGAGTAACTGTTTTGAACTTCCTTTCTAGCTAGAGACATTTTGGGCAAAGTCTTTCCATAATATTTTGGTACTTTTCTTCCTTGCTTTTTCAATTCAAATTGAATCTTTTTGATTGCTTTTTATGTGTCTCTTTTTTATTTTTCTTATGTGCTAGTATCATTTGAAGAATTCTCCCTATTTGTTGCTATATTCTAATTAAAAGTCGAATTTTTCAATCATACAATCCTTAGTACTTAGGGTAGGAATTTGGAATTGGTTTAAAGGCTCGGTTTATTGAGGGTGAACAAGAAAATCTTATGGTTTTATAGGCTTCAAAATTGTTTGCAAAGGTCATATTTTTAACTTAGGTGGTTTAGGCTAAATAAATTTTAACTTAGGTGGTTAGGCTAAATATGGGTTTCAACAAAGAAATGCCCTAAATCATCTCTTTAAAATGTAAGGCATTTAAAATTTTCGTTCTCAAGGGGGAATTCTAATTGTTCTAAGGAAATGCCAAGGTTTAAATAGCTTGGATTTAAAACACACCTGTGTAACCAAAAATTTCACAAAAATCAGTGTTTTAGGATCTTTAGAAACAGATAGTTTAAACCAATGAACATGTTTAAGTCAAAATTTCCAAATTCAGAGCTTAAGTATACTAGAATTAAGAATCAACTAAATTCAACACTTATTACTAGATCATGAGAACCTTCAAGCTTGTTTGTAATCATTCCAACCATGTTAAGCAAAAACAAAAAATTTGTAGCTAAAATTTTCCTTCCCCCAATTCAATCAAACACATTGTCCCCAATGTGTGCAAAATAACTTCCCCAAACTTATCGCATTATTAGAAGAAAAAGCACTAAGAGAGCAGAAGAAACTTTACCAAAATTGTATTGAAAAATACAATATAACGGGTGCTGGAACATGTCATAGCTAAAAGAGCAAACTAAACATTAAGAGAAAAGGAACTACTAAAAGTTATAAGAGTCTAAATAACAGACAAACTAAAAAAAAAAAAAAAAACAAAATCAACCAAATCAACCCAGATCAATTGTAATGAACCAACAAATAAAAAATAGGAAACAGTGATAAGTGAAAATCCATCAACTGCCTCTAGTGGTGGGTGGCCTGTAAAAGCTAGGAGAATGGGTCTGAAAGTCTGGCCCTTAGGCATTGTATCCAATCCTAGAATCAAGGCTTCCGTTCATATTTTTGATGGATTGGAAACGGTCTGCAATCATCGTCTCCATCGTTAAGGCGTGTGTCAAATATGTTCCATTCGAGACAATCATCCTTACAAAGGACTTCATCGTTGGACAATGTTTTGAAGTACCTTGAAAAGGATGGACCCAGCACGGATGTACCGCATCAAGAAAGAAGTTGAAAGGGGGAGGATTATTCCCTCCTCCATGGCAGCACCACCTGCGCCTCAAGCCTTTCGTCATTAAGAATCATCCTTCTTGAGCACCTACTAATTCGTACGCATCTTCGCATCTCCGACTTTTTCGATCAATTTCATATGGATCATGACATCCAAATCCAATCTGGTACCACGCCCTCCTCCTACACTATCATAGATTGGTCTAGCCGAGTTCCATAGTCGTAAAAACATAGCAATGCAGGTCACAAAACACCCTATCATTATAGCCCCTTTGTCTGCTCTAGCTACCCTCGCAAATTTTTGGCAGAGCCAATATCAAACATTCAACAAAACTCCATTTTCAATAGCCCACAAAAAGTACAATTCATTGAAACTTAATACCCCGTCACTCTCACTCCTTCCAAATATAGTATTAGACAAAAATTTGTCCAAATATAGTATTAGACAAAAATTTGTGAATGTATCGCAAGGAAGGTTTTTTTAATTTGGATGCCTTTGAATACCTAGGATTATAATTGACTTCACCTATAAATTTTAGCCATGTATTGCGTGCGTTAAAATCACTAGATATTTGTATTTGACTATTTTCTGTGGGGAATCCGAAAATATGGCTAACCTCATTCATAGATAGTTCAAAATCTTGACTAAAAAGCCTAAATCGAATTTTGCTCGGGGGAGAGGTAGGCAAAAATCTAATGAAAGAGGAGTATGAACTTAAAAATTCTAATGTTAATGGTGCATATACTAGATCTTTCATTTCAAGAAACTGCCCCCATCCTATACGCCGGAGGGGTTCTAACATAATATCCCGAAGACCCACTTGTGCTAAAGCAGCTTCATCCATGAATCTATTAGGTAAAAGAGGGCGAAGAGATAATTTATTGTACCTTTCTTGCTGCTCGGATGAGGCGAATCGGGATTGATGAGGCAGAATTCACATGGAAGAAGTAGCGGTGAAGGAGGTTGAGGAGCCATAGGAGGATCTATGAAATGGCCGTTTTCTAGCGGCAACCTGAGGACGCGGGTCCTGCTATGCGTTTTGTATCATAGGAGGCATGGTTGAGGTTGATTGAATATGAAAATTTG